TTTTTGCATCATCAAGCAAATGTTCCACATCATAAACAAATGTAACACATCTTCAACTAATATTCTACAACAAAAATAATTTTATGGTTGGGGGTCACCACAACATGAGGAATTGTATTAAAGGGTGGGAACATTAGGAAGGTTGAGAACCACTGTTCTAGATGAAAGCAGGAGACTAAATTTACCCCACACCCAGTTAAAGTATACACTCACTTAGCAAACAGCATGTGAGAACACCATATATATTGGGAGTTGTAATAGTTTTGAAAAATGAATAATGACTGAAATGTAGTTCCTGTCTTCAAGGGACCCTTGTTTGGGGGCATGGATCAGCTGAGAAGCAAGATACCTGGTCTTGGCTCCTTTATGAAGTTAGATGGCATCTTGAATACTAACAGTTAACCTTACAGACTAAACACATTTTTTTCTTTTTTTTTATAGAAGAAAGCATTTAATTGGAGACTTGCTTATAGTTTCATAGGGTTAGTCCATGACCATCATGGCAGGGAGAATGGTGACAGACAGGCAGCTGGAGAAATAGCTGAGAGCTTATATCCTGATCCACAGACAGAAGACAGAGACAGACAGACAGACAGACAGACAGAGATAGAGATGACAGAGACAAAGACAGATAAACAGACAGACATATACACAGAGAGATAGATAAAGAGGGCAATAGAGCAAGACAGGGCCTGCCATTGGCTTTTGAAACCTCAAAGCCCACCCCTAGTGACACACCTCTTCCAACAAGACCACACCTACTAATCCTTCCTGAAGAGTTCCACCAACTAGGAACCAAACATTCCAAATATATAAGCCTGTGGAGGCCATTTTCATCTGAACCACCACACCTTCCTACTTTCAAGTTTTAAAAAAACTAATCTTGTGTGTGACCTACTGAGCTTTATTAGTTTGATTGCATGAGCATTGGTGGTGGTAGGGCTATTCACTTGATTATTGACAACTTATTAGTGGCTACATCCCTGAAGAAAATTAGACCCCATTCTTTAGCAATCATTAACTACCAATAGTCTCTCAGGGAGGGGTAGGGCTTCATAAGTGCCTCCCCCATCCATGATAAGTTGCTGACAGGCCCATCATGTAGAGGTGACTGTAGCTGCAGTGAGTTTACAGTACAATGGTCATGTCATACTCAGAAGACATCTTTCTGAAGCATACCTCCTATATTCTGGCTCTTCCATTCTTTTTGGACCCATCTTCAGCAATGTTCCCTGAGTCACGATACAGACAGACATTCCATTTAAAGCTGAGCATGCAATGGTCATTGATTTTCAGCACATTGGCCAGTTATGGGTCTGCATTAACCACTGACCACCGAAACAGGAAGCTTCTCTGATGAGAGCAGCACTACTCTAGGGACATAAACATAAGTATTAGCAGGCAGTTTGGCAACGTGTTTATGTAGGTTTTCTCCTTGGGCCTATGATTTCCTCAGCCACAGACTCTTGACCAGGTTTACAGTACCAAACATGAGTTCTTTCTTGTGGAATATGATTCAAATCTAATTAGAAGGTGGTTGGTTACACCATAACATTCATGACACTATTAGCCAGTGGACACATCTTGCCTTGAAGGTTGATATTGTAGCTTCCAGGGTTTACAGATCAGTAAGACTCTCAATGGCTTTTCTAGCCCAACAGCCCTCATCCCACCTTCCAATACTAATATTTGATAGCCAGCATGAAGGTAGCTTCAGGCTTGTTTCCAACTTAATTTCTCTAAGTCCTGCACTCAAATCCCGTGATATCTTCAGCAATAGGAATTTACTAATGAGTTCTAGTGACCGACCACGAGCAATGGTGATAGTTTACACTGTTAGGGGGGATTTTTCAAGAGTGACATTGTTGATGTTTGGTGATGTCCTGAGCATTTTGCAGAGTATTTGGAGGCATCCTTGGATTCTACCCAAAATTGAACACATTTTCCCAAAGAGAATGGCTAAAAAATTTCCTCAGGCAAAATGTTTCAAAACTCATGTCTTACCAACAAAGAATATCTTTGTACAGATTTTTTTCTGCAAATTTTCGAGAGTAGGAATATTTCCGTTGATTAAGTTCCTAGAAGTAGGAGTTGCTAGATCCAAGGGGTTGAAGATCTAAATTTAGATAGACTCAGGTTCCCTTCCAAAAAAGGGCTGCACTAGTTTCTAGGTCAGGAAATTTCCTGATGTTACGAATGATGATACTTGCTCAGAGTGATCAGTTTTGCAAGAAACACTGATATTTCCTTATATGAACCTCCCCGTAAGCTCTTGTTTGATTCCCTCAGAGACTTCCTTGTCTTCTCAGGGAGAATCCTGCAGCAGGGGTAGTCTCATTCTCTGTTACATCTCCAAGGCACTTTTTATAGAAATCTCACTTATCTTAACCTTCCCTCAAAGAAGCCTTCAGTTTCTTCCCCATTGGCCACTGGCTCTGGGCCCAAGTCCCCTGTCTCCCTGGCTTTCATTGTCTCTATTCTATATTCTGCTTTGCATCAGGACCTCTCTGGATGATAAATAATATGTCTTGCATTGGCCTTTGTGACAGAAATCATTTCTGGACACGGTATTGAACTGCCTTCTAAAGATTTAATTTTGTACCCATGGGTTAGTGCTGCTTTCAGCCTTGGTCAGAAAAACTTTTCTTTGCAGTGGGTAGCAACGAATGCAGAGACTCCTAACTGGTGAAAGAGCTGAGATTAGGTGACGGCCAAACAGAATGTATGTATACCCGCTCCAAGGCTTGGGAGCATCGTAGAAGACGGTGTAGCAAGAATGTAAGAATTGGAGGATTGGGAGAAATGCTATCAAATGCATTTTTTTTTAAGACACAATACTGAGGTTATTATACTCACAGTAGCTGCTGTTACTATTGGGAGTGGAGGAAGCCTCATGTGAGTGAAACTCCTGAGTGACTGTGTGTTGTTGAATGACTGACCGCATTGAGGACTCCACTGCCTCATCCCCACAGCCTCACTTGGGTGAGACTCAAAGGGATGACAGAGCTTTCCACAAGGGTCTGAGTACAAGTGTTTATGGAAGAGGGACCATTATGTGCAGAACTAGCAACTGCAGCTTCCCCCTCCCAGATATTTATGGCCTGAGACTGCTCACCTGCAGACTAGCTAGCCCCTCACCGTGTACTGTACCTAATAAACATGCTGAGGTTCCAGGTTCAGGTTTCTGGTGGCAGTGGGTCCCCTCCATGGAAGGCAGCAGACCTCCACCTGATCCCAGCTTTCCTTGAAATGTGTCCTTCCTTTTTGCATTCACTCAGCACCCTTGTCAGGCGGCTGGGATCGAAGTCACATGGGTTGCAGCTTGTTACCTACACAAAACCTGCACAGGACCGGGCTGCTCAGCCCGCCCATCCTGGTGGGGGAGGGGCTTACAAGGCCCCACCCCTTCCTGAGAAGCTGTTGACAGTTAATGGTTGCTAGAAGAAAGGGAGTCATTTTCTTCAGTGCTATAGACACTCCTAAATTGCCCAGGCTTCAGTAATGAACCCCCCATCCAGGCTCACACAGGCAACTCTAATTAAACTCAGTGGGTCTCAAAAAACCGAAACAAACACACACTAGGAAGGATGGGAAAACTGGAGAGGAGTGGGCTCCTTGGGGAGAAGGAATTTGGCGGGGGTGGGAGAGGGATGAAAGAAGGGAATGGGGGTGGGGTGGGTTAACACATAACCAAGATGTGTTATACATGTGTGAAGCTGTCAAAGAATAATACATTTAGCAAATTTTAAAAGTACTTTAGACTACAAGTCGATTAGGGGAAGACTTCAGAGTTAAGTCATAACAACTGGCTTCCCTGTTAGTGTGCTCCTGGGCTACCCTGTAGGAGACGTGCACATGGATTTTAAGACCGTGCAGAACTCAGCCTTATGAATTCATCTTCTCCAGGCTTCCCTGCCTCTGCCTGTATGTACTCAGCTCTTGCAATGATTTTTTTTCCTGTGTCCTGGAGACAAATACAGCCTCATTGACAAGATTTTTTTCTTCTTCTTCTCTCCAAGACAGGGGTTCTCTGTGTAGCCCTGGTTGTCCTGGAATTTGCTCTGTAGATGAGACTGCCCTTGAACTCAGAGATCCCAAGTGTTGGGATTAAGGGCATGTGCCACCACACCGGGCCTGACAAGTTTTTACTGTGTCTTATTATTTTGCTCTAATTTGAGCAAATTTTGTGTTCAGATTTGGATGATAGCTTTTATTTTGGACCTGGGTGTGCTGGTCCTTAAGAACTGAAGTCCTCACTGTAATGCATAGTCTCATTGGCCTACTTTTGCTGGAGATAAGACTGTATGGGTTAATACTCCCTGCTGTAACAGAGACACAGTGAAATCCCAGCTATCCAAGACAAATGATGTTCAGTTTGGGATCACAAACCAGTCAAGAGCTATGTTCAGCGCAATAATACAGGAACCTAAATTCTGTTTTTCTCTTCTACTATCTTAATCTTTGGAAGGAGAAGAGGAAAGAAAGGGTAGTGATGGCCTCATGCGGACCTGTAAAGGAGCCAGTCATTTCTGAGTCCTTTTGCAGCTGAAACTAGCCACATGGGCCTAGATGCCAGGTACTGTGGTTTGAATACGAGTCCTTTCCCCCAAAGGTGCATATATTAAAGGCTTAGTATCTGGAATGGTGCTATTTGTAGGTGCCGTGGACTTCTAGAGGGAGGTCCTTAGGACACTGGGGGGTTGTGGACTCTTCCCACTTTCTAGAGATGTAATAATGTCACTACACGTGCTACTGATTTTGCCGTGTGTCGTCCTTATGAGTGATCCAAACCACAGGGACTGCTTAGTCTTGGACTGGACCTTCCCAAACTGTGAGCTGCACAAACCTTTTAAAAAAGTAGTTTCCTCCAAGGTTTTCAGAAAGTGGCAGAAAGTTAATGCGCATGGGTTGCTGGGAAATGTAGTCTTTAGCTGAGGAGGCTCCTCCTTCAAAACAGGTTCCTATGATGGAAGGGTAACAGTAAAGGAACAAGCAGCAAGCCACCTGTGACACACGACCTGAGGAGAGAATGGCGTCAGTGGTCACTTCAGGGTTTGAAGACCCCAAGCTTAGGACTCGAAGTTCTACTAGTTCCCACCCTGGAAATCTCCACCTTAGAAAACTCTGCCCCCAAGAAACCCTGTATGAGCCTGCCTCCTGCTCAGTCCGCTGGTGCTTCTCCTCTGAGCAGAGGCAGCCACCATCTGTGTCTTTCCTGATAAATCTCTTGAGTGAGGATTGTTGGGCCGTGTGACTTTGTGGTATTCCTTGGCTCCTGACTGCCAGGGTACCTTTTCCCTCAGAGCTGCAACACTTCCATTGGGAACACCTTTCCCCTCAGAGCTGTAAGTTACCCTTTTGTTTAGTGTGAAGAAATCCTCAAACAGTCACGTGCCACTGTGCCCCAGCCAGTGGGGTCTTCAACAGGGACCTAAAGGGAGGGCCGGCGAATGAGAGGGACAAGAGACACAAAGAATGAGAGCAAGACAGGATGTCTGATCAAGCTCCAAAATGTTATTTTTCTCTCAAGGCATATATAGGTAGGCAAAGGGGGTTGCGAGCAGGAAGGGACTTAATTATGGGGGTTGCAAGCAGGAAGGGACTTAGTAATGGGGGTTGCAAGCAGGAAGGGACTTAATTATGGGCTGTTCGGCCAGCAGGAAATGTTGATCTGAAGGTTATCTATCTACCCTTGTCTAACTGCCTAATTGCTTGACTGCAGCTCATTCACCTGATATCTGAGAAGAGGTTCTGGTATCTGTGGGAAGAGGTTCTGGTGCTATGGAGAGTTAAGCAAGGTCTAGATCTAAGAAAAGTGGAGAGAAGCCCGAATACGGCGGCATGTGTGTCAAGGGTCGCTTAGGCTTATGGCTCCTGTCACCACTGAACAATGGGGAGGGGTTTCTTGTGAGAAACACACTTAGGTTGTTTCGTGGTTGTGTGGACATCAGTGTGCACTGGCATTAGCATGTCTATAATGTCACTAGGAGTTAGAATCCCATGGGTCCACCTGTTGCCAACGTGGTTCATTGGTGACTGAGGTGTCTGTTTTGTAGCATGTGATAACTGTAGGTTACTGAGCATGACTGGACTTAGAGATTACGGCAGTTGAAGCGTAAGGTGGGAATGGGTGAGGAGAAAAAGAGGCGTTTGGTTATCTTTGGTGAGTTTTGTCTGTTTGTGCTCTCGGTGTGACCACAGACTGTCCCCTAGGGTCCCTTCATTTCCTCTTTTCTGGCAACCCCAAGCAAAGCCACAGATAAATGAGACCTTCCAGGACTCCTTCCTCACTTCCCTCTGAAGGGGTTGCTTTTTGATGATTTGGGCCAGAGGGTGGCCAGGACTCAAAGGCACTTCTAATAAAGACAGCGCCCTCCCTTGTTGCCTCGGATGAGGAGGCTGGGTGGGTGGGGGAGGGCGGCTCTCGCGGAGCTCTTCAACTCAGGGAATCAGTAAATCTGAAAGCCAGAGGAGCTGGGCGGGGGTGGAGTGGGGGTGGGTGGGGGTTGTGGTGGTGAAGGCAGCAGCTTCCTTGCGGAGGTGTCCTCCCTCCGTGACGTCAGAGGCGGCTGCGGTTGCCCTGGTAACTTCACCTGATCCACTGCCGTGGGTGTTCGTGCTGATTTCAAGGCTCTCTCCTTTAAAGAGGAAGAGCTAAAAATGAATCTCACCCTCCCATGAAAAGCACGGCAATCACAAGGCGTTACTACCGGGTACTCGGCGTCTGTGGTGGAAGCAGCCGTGGGGGTGGGGTGGATGATGCTGGAATGACCCGAAGGACATGTAGGGGACAAGATTTCTTTCACAGAAACCCTTCAGGTTCTAGAAAAAGGAAAGCGTGGGCTCGCCTTCTAACAAAGCTCTTCATTTCTACCGTTTCTCAGGAAATTTCCTGTTGAATTATGTGGCATATTACCTTGGAGTCCTGCTCTAGGGCTGATAGCTCCAGAAATACCACAGTGCTGGGAATCATGGGAGGCCAGTGTGACAGAGACCCCAAAAGTTGTCCTCACAGCATGAGATTTCTCATGAATTCACCTTAAATGAGTGTGCACCCCCTACTCTCTTTCTGAGCCGCAGAACAGGTTACATTTACAACTTGGACCATATGTGAGAAGCAGACACTCGCGCCTACAGGCTGCCCCACCACAGTGATCTGGAAGCGCGGCTGCTTCCCGGCTGTGTGATCTCAACCCAGATAATTGTCCTGACTGAACTTGAGGATCTTTGTGAAATTCCAAGTCTGATCCACAGAACTTTAAGGAAACAGTGATAGAATGCACGTAGTATGCTTGGCATGCAATGGGTACTCAAACTCACGAAAGCTGTTTTTCTCATTTGGAACAATTCTTAAAATGTTTCTGGTCCAGGGTTGATATTATCATACACTAAGGCTTTGAACAAAATAGAAGGGGGAAAAAGTGCCTCCATTGGCAGAGGAAACGACAGAAGGTTGTTTTTTTTCTCATCCTAATGTGACCCTGGGTAGGCTCTCAGGAGTGCACGCCTTCTCATGGGCGGACCAAGGGACTGGCTCTGACCTCTTTAGAGGGCTCAAGAAAACAATACCCCAGAGTAGAGTGCTTTGAACTAAAACAGAGCCAGTCTCCCCGATGCCGCCGTGCTCCAGGAGAGAAGAGGTTTCTCTCATCTGCTCTCTTTAAAGCAATACAGTGGGTGCTTTCAGTGCCACCCCCCCCACCCCATAGTCTCTCCAAAGAGGAGGACCAGTTTGCAAAGGAAGCTGGACGAGACCATACCCAAAGCCCAAACAAACTGTCCCAGGGCGCCGTCTCTCCTTTTGGTCCACTCACGCCCTTTGAAACTCATTTATCGTGGCCGAGGCTATGGCTCAGTTGCTAAAGCCCTTGCATGGCAAGGATGAGGAGCCGAGTTCAGATCCCAGTACCCATGTAAACGCTGGACTTGGCAGTGTGCCTGTAACCCCAGTGCCAGGGAGGCAGAGACAGGAGAATCCCTGGGACTTCCTGGCAAGCCAGCCCAGCTAAATCATCCAGCTTCTGGTTCAGTGAGAGACTCTGTCTAAAAAAAAGAAAGAAAAAAAAAGTGAAGAGGGATTGGGAAAGAAAGAGCTCCATGTCCATCTCTGTCCTCCATATGCATGTACACACATGTGCACACACCCCCACAAACTCACGAACTCATATACACAGATACATACACACACAAAAGCAATAGTAGTCAGCCGGGCATGGTGGTGGCGCATGCCTTTAATGCCAGCAACTTGGGAGGCAGAATCTCTGTGGGTTCTAGGTTAGCCTGGTCTACAGAGCAAGTTCCAGGACCGGCTCCAAAGCTACACAGAGAAACCCTGTCTTGAAAAAAAAAATAGTAGTCAACAAACCAAGAAATGCTGGGAAGGGAGAAACAAACAAAACTCATTTATTGAGCTTTCCCCCCTTCCCATCTCCCCTGCAAAGAAGGGGACAGTGTTTAGCTCTCACTGGGTTACTGGGAGCCCACGTTCTGTTGACATCTTGGCCTTGTAGTAAACACGAATGTCTTTTCTTCTGGTAATATTGCTTACTGCCAGTTTATTTCAGTGAGCAATGATGGGCAGGTCAGAGGGCAGTGAAGTTCCCTTCGTCCCCATGCACCCCACTTCTCTAGTTCCCCAGCAGTTTTCCCGGAAAGGAAAAAGGCAAGTCTAAGAGAACCATTTAAAAAAAAATACACAATGTATAAGAGATAGAGAGTTAAAATTCAGTAGCGGTGACCATGGGAGCCAAGTGACAGTTCAGTCCTGCGGCTCCCTCCTCTGTCTCCAGGCCTGCCACCTTCCAACTGCTGTCTGTTGCAAGCTGTGGGTGGCAATTCTTTCTCATCCATTTGTTGTCATTAATATTATTACTTTAGACTGGCTTCCTGTGATGAAGTCCTTGATGAGGCGTGGCCTTATTGCAGGTAATGTAGAACTTGGGAGACTTTGCTGTTGACTCTGAAGCCCCTGCTCAGAGTCGGCACATTGTGGTTGCTTTCTGTAGTAGGATGCAGTGGGATGCAGTGGGAAGAGCATCAGAGTCATTTACTCAATATTAATTCGCAGAACAATATCACAAAGCGCAGTAAGGATGACTCCGGAATCTAGAACCTCCAGGATATGTTTCATCATCTTCTCAGGGGGCCTATGTTCTAGTGGGGAATGTGGCAAACCCAAACAGGTGTCGTCTGTCATCTGCTCTTGTACGTGCCTAGCCATCTTTGAATGCTGGGCATTTTCTATACAAACTCTGGGTGAGATGAAAGTTGTCTGTGGGAGTTTGTGTTTGTTTCTGGCAGGCATTAACTGGTGACATATCACCTCACTCTTGTTTGAGAGTGAGATGATTCAGAGCTATTTTTAAGTGTTGTGGGAAGCTGTGTAGTTCTTACTCATTTTTACTTCTTGGAGACAGCCCTTGAGGGCTTTATTTTTTTCTCCCCAAGCAATGACTCTCCAAAGATGTCCACCATATTTTGATGTCCAGAATGTGAATAAGTGAGGTAACATGGCAAAGGGGAGCTGAGGTTACAGATGATGTTAAGGTTACAATCAGCTGATCCTAAAATGGGAGACTCAGGGTGGGTTTTCTGGGCCATTCCAGTTGAATCACAGGGCCCTTTCAAGTGGCGGAAGGAGGCAGCAGAGGTCAAGGTGATGGACTGTGACGGGATTGCATCCTGCTACTGCTGACTTTGGAGATGGAAGAAGAGTACCACAGCCAGGGAATGGCAGCTCCTTCTATAACCTGGAAAAGGTACATGGACACTTGTTCCCAAGGTGCCCCCAGAAGACACAAAGCCCTGTAGTCACAGTGGTTTGAGTTCAGTGGAACAGACTCCTGTCAGATGGCCAACCCACAGGACAGTGTGATACTAAATGCATGTGGTTTTAGCCATCAAATTGGTGGTAACTTGTTGTAATGAGGAAATAATAAAAGGGATTCTGGGTGAAAATCTTTTTTTCCCTTTTATTGAAAATAGATTTTTTAAAAATATACAGTATATTCTGATTACAGTTTCCTCCCCCTTTCCTCCTCCCAGGTCCTCCCCATATCACTTCTCATCTGAATCTACTCCCTTCCTGTCTCTCTTTAGAAAACAAACAGGCATCTAAGGAATAATGATGAAATAAAAAACACAATAAGATAAATTTAAAGAAACCCAAATTGGAATATGACCAAACAACCTATCAAGAAAATGAGCCAAAGAAAAAGCACAAGAAACACTTACAGGCACAGAGACACACATGCTCGCACACACAGCAATCCCATAAAACCCCCCAACAGGAAGCCATAATATATACTCAAAGGCTCTGTAAGGTGAAATGAAATGCCCTGACTTA